GATAATGCCATGTTAGAAGTAAAGAACATACAAAATAATACAGCTTCTTTTATAAATGACTATTTATGTTCTACTTCTAAAAATGCATATGTGCCTAAAAATGAAGATTTGAATCTTATGAAAAATAGTATTTCATCCTTAGATTCAACTTTGAAAATATGCATTAATAACCATAAGAAGCTTATGGACATGTGTGCCAAGACTAAATCAAAATCATCCACTCATTATGCACACATGTATAGCAAAACTTATAAGTGTTCTATTTGCGGCCGTCAAGGTCATTTAGCTAAGTTTTGTTATGATGCACACAAACATAAGAATTCTAATGTTCCTTGTGCATCTCATATAGCTTCTTCATCTTGTACACTTACACATTCACATGCTCATTCTCACAAAGTTCATCATAAGCATGCTAGTGTGTTCAAGTGTGATTATTGTGGTCGTTTTGGTCATTTGGCCAAATATTGCTTTGATTTGAAAAGAAAATCTCATTTGACAAATGCTTCCAATAGACCACATGTTTTTAAATGTGATGTTTGTGGTAGGTTTGGACATCTTGCTAAATTTTGTTTTGATATACAAAAAGCTTCTAAATTGCAATATGTTCCAAATAGACCATTGTTTAAGAATGTTTCTCATTTGCAAAATAATTTTAAAAGAAAATCTTTATTTGCAAATGATTCCCGTGCACGAGCTAATGGTCCACAAAAACAAATGGATCTCTTTCATTGCACAAATTGCAATCGGAAGGGTCATTTGAATGAATATTGTTTTGACCATGTTAGTGCACCATATGTGCCTAAGAGGGTTCATAACCCTAAGGCTTTGAGCTTTAATGATAGGGGTCATGTCCCTAAATCTTTTGGTACCAAGAGTTCTTGGGTACCAAAACAAATTTAAATTTTAAACCAAGAATTTTAGTATTCTTATTTTTCCTTTTTCTTGGTTATTTGAAAATTATGCTTTGAAACTTTTTATGAAAACAAATTTTCTTTGGTCAAACTTTCATGCATATATCCTTTTTTTGTAAATTGTTTGTCATCATCAAAAAGGGGGAGATTGTTGGCCTTCTTGTTTTGATGATGTTTAACAAACAATTTATTACTAATGTTGTTTGTCTAGTGTTTGTGCATTCCTATGTTTTGTAGACAAACAACGTTGTTGGAGGATGGATGGAATAGAGCTTCAACGATCATATCCAAAGGAGGTTGGCGGAATGTCGGTGAAGCCTTGCAAATTCAAAGTTAAAGATCAAGTTCAAGCTTCATCCGCATGTGTACCAAGTTGAGCTTCAATGAAGATCAAGATCAAGCTTGGGTATATTTAGTATAGGTTTATATTATGTGTGTTATATACTCTAAGCTCAATATTATATTCACACACACATTTATTAGTTTCTTAGTATATATATATATAGTTATATACATATACATCTTGGTTTTTAGTTTTATCCACAAACAAAGTTTTTACAAATAAATTCCAAAAAATGTGTATACATGCTTGTTTTCTATGTGGATAAGTTGTTTTGGTTTAATTTCATAGATATGAAACAAATATATTTTCATATACATACTCATACGTTTTACTTTCTATTGTATTTGTGAAAATATTGTTTTCTTGGTTTATAGACTTAACAATAATCATATACATCTTTTATTAAGTCTACAAAATCATTTTGTAATGTTTCAAAACATGGTTAAGCTAAAATGTCAAGATTCATATGTTTACATTTTCATGTTTTGGACTATTTTGCAAAATGATGATATTTCTCATTTGGGAAGCCTTTTTAGAAAACCAGTTTTTGTAGCATGTGTATTATCATGTCTACAATCATTCCCCAAAGTTTTACATTTTTCTGAATTTATTTGATATTTTTAAACAGAGTTTTAAAATCAGGTTTTGCAGAGTATCTTCCAACGGCTAGTTTTTTGACACCGTTGCCTTGGGGCTGTTTTGTCTTTTGCTCAGGTTTTTGGCTGAAGTTTGAGAGGGTATATATACCCCATTGTTGATGTCTTTTCAAACTAATCCAAGAGAGTTTTTAATCAAGTTTAAGAAAGTTTTTAACAAGGGTTTTAGTTTGGTTTAAGTGTCCCCATTGCCTTCAGCTCTCCACCTAACTATGAGAGAGTTTTAAAACAAGTTTAAGAAAGTTTTAATCAAGGGTTTAAGTTTGTTTAAAGTGTGTTTATAAGCTTTTAAGCATTTGAGTGTTTCGATTTTGTGAATCAAATTCCACAAGAGCTTGAGGAGATTATCTATTGAAGTTTGAGCTTCCAACTATCATCCCTCCATCTCTTGTTATCAAATTGAGAAGTTTTCTAAACTCAAACTCTAGCTTTACATTTATATACTTGTTTGATTATCATTGTTCTTAAGCTAGATTTTATATTTGAGTTTAGTTTGATTTTGATTTCACTCATTGTTACACACACCCACTTTGAGCTTATTGTATTTGCATACATAGTATATTAGGGTTATGAGAGTTGTAACATTGAGTGTGAGCTTTTATTGTGTTCTCATCTGTATTAGAGAACAAATCATTTGTTGTTACATTGTGAGTGTTGTAGAGTTTTCGGTTAGCTAGAAAACCGTACTGTGAGGGTGGAGTGTAGCCACATTGTGAGAGTGTGAGTGGAGATCTCCTCGAGGTGAGGAGCGGAGACGTAGGTCGAGGGGACTGAACTCCGTGAGAGAAATTGTGAGGTGTAAACGTTGTTCGGGTGAGCGTAGAAAACCCGGTTGTGATAGTGGATTCTCCCCGGGAGTGGGGAGCGGAGATGTAGGACAGAAGGTCCGAACTCCGTGATCATCTTTGTGTGTTTGTGATTGTCTTGGCGTCTCACTTGTGCTTATTATTCATATCATTCTTGTCGCCATTATCTATTGTTCACATTGTCCACTATCTTGTTTATCTTGTTTATGTTTATATCACCCTTAGTTTATATATCCTTACATATATATATTTCATCATATACGATATATCACTTTGTATATATTGCTTATTCTTGCTTATAACTCTTGTATATCTATCTTGCAAGAATACAACTTGTTAATTAATTTTGATTGGCATTTAATCGGATTAGATTAGCATAAGACCCTAATCACCCCCCCTCTAGGGTCTAACAGTGGGTAGTACGGGAATCAGTTTGTTGGGAGGATGTATACGACCCCCAGTCTGAAGAGTTGCTCGGGATCTGTTCACTAGACCTAAGCATTCTTTGACAGGAGTTTTGCCTCGATCTTCATGTAGAGGACCCAAGCGATCTTTCAACGAAATTCTGAATTTGGATAGATCCATGCTGCCGTAGGGCTTCACCGAAGGTACGAGAGAAAGAGGAGCAGGATCTGAAGCTGACAGAAGCTAGGAAGCAGCCTTAGGGCTGGAATTAGATGAGAGACACGACTAGTGTCTCTCCCAAAGTGGAGGCGTCTTGGTTGTTTTTAGTGCCGTTTTTTGCATTGTTTTGGCCTTTGGCGCCAAAACCTGCTTAGATCTTGGTGGCTCTTTGACCATCTCTTCTTTTTGTAACTCTTGTGCCTTTTGCACAAGGATCCGGGCATGTGCAAGAAGTGCGTGGCACATCTGGATGCGCTCCTCGAGAGTAGAACGAGTTTGTTTGACACGAACCCATTTATTAGTCGGCGGTTGGGAGGAGGAACCCATTGCTTGTTGCGGTGAAGGCTTAGTCATTTGGCACCTTCTAAATTCTAAATCTGCTTGATAGCGGAGTCCGTCCACCTACTCCATTGCTTTGGCGAATTGACGGGCAAGACGTTGGTGCCGTCTCTGAGGAGCCCTCTTCGTCAGAACTGGCGCGTTTTTAACAGGCAACTCCTTGACTTGTGAGGAGTTGCCACGAGCCTCAGATCCGACTTCTTTGAATGCTGGGGAGGAGTCTTCAACAACACTAGGGCGAAGTTTGTCACCCTGAGTCTTTAGATCTGAAGGCCAATGAACTTTCTTCACGAAAGTGGTCTTCCTGCGCTTGCAAGGAGAGGAAGATCTGAAGGAGGAGGAGAAGATGTACTCCTTGAACTTCTACTGGTTGAACTCGTATTCGATCTCTTCATCTATATGGATCTTGATCATCGGCTGCGGCACGACAGTCTCGACAGCGAGGTTATTGGCTCCCACTTTGGTCGCCAACATGTTCGTGTCGAAAGTTGATTTGTTCATTACGGGACTCATTACAACTTCAGTCGTTACAATAAGTTCAAAAAAAGAAAGTCTTTTTTATAAGTCTTTTTTTACACAATGAAAATAAAAAAAGATTACAATTTTCCTGAGAACACACGCAGAGAGATCGTTTATCGGTCTTCTGCTTGTGCAGGATCTTTACCGGTGCCGGGGTTTATCCGTGGACTACCAACTGATTAGATCCGAATAAAGATTTTGTTACCTCACAAAGGAGAAAAGAAATTGAAGTGATTATCTCGGCAACAGCGAGAAAATCACTCTTCTCTAGAGTCACAGCTAGGTGTGATCTCAAGGAAAATGGATGAACGGAATGCAGATCTCTCAAAATCTTCTCCTCTTTGTGCTGAAGAACTCGCCAAGATCTCTTCCTCCTCTCCGAAATTCATCATCCTCACTCTCCAATCCAACAGGACTTTGCTAAGGCACGAGAATTTCAGATCTGTGCAAATGAAGGCCCTAAGGCCATATTTATAGGATTCAGAAGCTCGGTTTTTAAATAAGAATGACCAATTTGATCTCATCCTCAGTTGTAACCTAACTCAATTTGATCTCATCCTCAGTTTTTAAATAAGAATGACCACTTAACCAATTTGATCTCACATTGGTAAATTTTCATTTCTTGTATTTCAACCCAATATCCATCCTGTTTCACGTGGAAGAATCCTATAATCAATGGGGCCTTTTGCGGCAAAGCTGATAAAAAATCAAAGATCTGGTCACCGCCATTCCTACGGGCTCTGACTTTTGAACAGCAAACAGCTAAACGAGGCTTTAATGTATAACATTCCCCCTTATGTAAGATTTGAGGGGCCAGCAAAATATCACAATGTGAGCGCATAATTTCGAAATATGTAAGATTTGAGGGGCTACTATCGCAAAAACCCAGAATCCTTATATAGACGGCAACTATTTCAACCGCCTCTCTTCCTCATCTCTCTAAGCTTCGGTCAATGGCGACGATGGAGGAACTAGTGATCCGATACAGAGAATCGGCGAACTCTTTCCTCTCGCGATACGAACCGATCGCTCTCGTTCTCGCTCCTCCGCTCGCTCTGATCGCCGCTCGAGTTCTCCACTGTCTGATGTGTTTGATTCAGGACAAGGGGATCAAGGGCGTGGTTCTAGGGTTTGTGATGGGATTCGTTAGGTAGGTTATCGGCATCCGCTCTGTTTGTGGAATTTTAGGGTTTTCTCGGGGTTTCGGATCGAGATTGCTTGATTTTGGTGCAGGTTGGTGCCGGGAGTGAGCAGCTACATCGAATCCGAGAAGAGAAAGGTGAGCGAGCTAAAACATCATCGAATTATCTTGTTATTTTACTTATACACCCCTAACTCAACCATATTTTCAAATATACCCCCAAATTTGAGATATTTGCTGTTGAAACCCTTCATTTCTGCCATATTGAGTAGAATACTATGGTTTTTGTTAGTTGTTGACCCGAATATTCCACAACCTACCGTTGAAAACTAGACACGATATGTTTGAGGGTTTCAATGTGCTAGAATTGGGGGTTAAATTAGCAAATTTGTAGATTTGGGTTAAATTTGAGGCTGCGGATGATTTGGGGGGCATATGGGTAAAGCCCCTCATGATGTTCTACTTGACCATTTTTGGATTTTGATTGATTAGCTAGTCTTGGGGGTGTATAGGTTAAAAACCCAATTATGTTTTACTTGACCATTTTTAGATTTTGATTGACTAGCTAGTGTTAATAGATCAGGGTTATCCCTTTGAAATTAATTTCATTTATTTCTTCAGGTTGTGGAGAAATTACAGTCCGGAAATAAATCTAAAAGAGATGACTGGATGACTGAGTTGCCAAGTGTAGGACTTGGAAGAGGAGTTATAGAAAAGTTGGAAGATTCGAAAAGGAAGGATGTAGCTTGGCAAGGAAAATGCTCTGGAACAGTGTATGTTCGAATATACCAATGCTTATCAGCTTAAATTGTCTCTTTGCTTATTGTAACTTTCTTTGTTATGTCATTTGCAGATATATTGGGGGAAGGGAGTCTGAAGGCCACTTTTCCTTGATAAATGAGGCTTATTCAATGTTAGTAACGAAAAATATGGTACACTTGCTATGTCAATTTCGTGCTGGGAGCACTTAGTGCACTTCGTAGTTGACTCTTTTGGAATAATGCCTTGTTGTTAGTTTTGTTTATTGGAGCTTGATTGTCATCTCTTTTTACATTCAACAATCAGAATTTTAGCTATGGGAAAATTGTGTTATAGAACATATTTTATGGGAGAAAACATATGTATAGATTGATGTTTCTTACTTGAAACTTTATGCAATTTCCATCATGTGAAGCTATTAGCTTGTAGTTGACTAATAGGTTGCCTGAAAATTCATTTCCGTTTCATCTCCTTCTCTTGGGCTGTTTGTTTCCGTACATTTGGTTGGTTTTGAATTTAAAATGGGACCCACAAGATTTAAATCCTAGATTTTTAAGTTTTTAACAAATAAAATGTTTATTTGTTATTTTCTATACCAAGAATTTGGGGTTGGTTCCCTAAAATTATGATGATTTCATTCGAATTTGTGTTTTAGTCACATATCCTCAACAAAATTCATGTGCAACCAAACAAAATTTGATTGGATTTTATCTCATGCAATTCTCTTTAATACCCATTGGAAACAAGTAAGATTTTGAGTATGGATTTTTGAAAATCCTTTACATATCAAAATGCAATCCATGAACCGAATAGCCCCTTAGGGCAGTTATTCGTTCGTGTTTGTTAATTTGGACTGAGACTTTTTGTCGGATTTCAATTTAAGGTGTCATTCATTTAGGACTAGGATTTGGATTTAAATTTAAGGCGTTATTTGTTTAGGACTAGGATTCAGATTTAAATTTAAGGTGTAATTCATACAGTATTAGGATTTAGACTTAAATTTTAAGGTGTTATTCGTTAAGGACTAGGATTTGGATTGAAATTTAAGGTGTTATTGGTTATTTTGGATTGTGATTGGGATTGGAGTTCAAGAATCCATATTCCGATGCAACTACATATTTTGTTAATTAATTGAGACCTCAAAAAGTCCAAGGAAAATTTTGTGGGTTTCCTGTTCTCATCTTGGATTTTAATAGAACGTCTATTCTATTATAATAATTTAATATAATTCTTTTATGTAATTTTAATTTAAATACAATAGATGTCATTATATGATATATATTATAAAAATATATATTAGATAAATATTTACTATATTTGAAAATTATTGAAAGTAATTAAAAACAATGGATTTGAAGGTATTAAATATCTAATAAAAATTATAAAAATATAATAAATAGTTATGTATTATGTTGGAAATTATAAGAAGTAATTTCAAATAATAACTTTCTTTTATAATATTTGTTATGATAAGCGAATATCATTTCTCTTTCTTATAACAATTAAATTAATAAATTACTACATCTAATTTATGATTAAGAACTCAATAGTTTAATCAGATTTTGAACATATCACCTCTAGTTAAAAACTTTTAACTCCTATTTTTTTCCTTCGCATATGCATTTGTCTGTGTCAAAATTAATAGTTTCTATATAATTTCTTTTGTCATGCTATTCCTTAATCAAAATGATGGTGCCTCTTGAAATGAATTTTAATTCTAGTTGATAATAATTATTATTTAACATATTAATTTAATATTAAAATTCCTAATTAAAATAGTCCATAAACATAAATTTTAGTCTAAGAAATCAACCTCTAATCCAATAATCCAAACCAAAATTTCAAGAACTCTACTCAAAAATTTAAAAATCCAATCCATTAATCTAGGGCTCTAAACCAAACAAGTCTATTTCTAATCCCAATCCAAGAATGTCGGGTTCATGGACAATTATCCTAGTCGTGCTCAAGAGTCCGGAACGAATAACACCTTACTGATGTCTGATGTACACACCAAATAAATAGTGATTGTATATAGAGAAGGATCACTTTCACTGGTTATGGTTCTTTGCATTACTTATATTCTAACAGCATTCATTTTGTTGTTCACTGTTTGGCATCTCTATTTTATTTATTTTTTGCTTTGTTTTGTGAGCACTGTCTGTCATCTATACTTGTTTCATCTGAGAGCTCATTTCAGGTTCTCACATACAAACCCATTGCACCAAGATGTATTTCAGAGTGTGGCACGATTTGAGGCAGAAGTAGTTGCAATGACTGCCGCCCTGCTTGGCAGTAAAGAAAAGACATCTGGAGGGCAAATTTGTGGAAATATGACATCTGGCGGAACTGAAAGTATATTATTAGCAGTCAAAACATCACGTGATTATATGAGAGCAAAAAAAGGGATAACAAAACCAGAAATGTGTGTATGTTTGTTGTCATGTCTCCAATTCGTTGGTTATAGTTTGTGTTTCTGTTTCCACTAAGGGCTTCTTCATTTATAGGATAATTGCTGAATCTGCACATTCTGCTTATGACAAGGCTGCACAATATTTCAACATTAAGATCCGCCGTGTTCCTGTAACCAAAGAATTTATTGCTGATGTGAAAGGAATCAGGCGATGCATAAACAACAACACAATTTTGGTACTCCATCTTCTTTCTCATTTCTGTATTGAGTGAGCTTGCTTGACATAACCTAGTAAATTTTACTTTTGGGTAGACAACTATTACCATTGTTGTTGTTGTTGTTCTTTTGATATCAGTTTACTTTTATAGTCAGTGTTCTGTTGCATCCTTCAAGGTAGGCTTCTTGTATTAGGAAGGTAATCTTGTAAACTAATGTATGATACATGTTTTTGAGCAATAATATTCAATGATTTGTTTTGTCGACTCGCTGGGCACACGGAGGGAAGAAACACCTTACCTTATTTAATTGCAGTTGCTCATGTGGCTATGGAGGAAATTCCGTACTTCTTATGAAATGTTCAAGAAGCATTTGAAATTTGTTATATTTTGAAAGGCCCTGTAAGGTAGGAATGGCATAAATGACCTTGTGTTGTAGGGCTCAGTAACATGTAGAAGAAACAGTAAATGTCTTTCCCACTGTCGTGTGATTATCATTACTGTTGGGACTCCATTCTAACAAAGCATACTTTTAATATTTCAGTTTTTAAATTCATTTCTTTTTTTTTCCCGAAAGATGGGAAGGTTGGAATTAAACCTTGTTAAATGTAGGATTCCTGTAAATGTCTAATTTGCTAGACATATGAAATCACGTTTGCATGGAAGAACTCTCTTTTTGAAAACAGGGTTGTGTTTGAAGCGAATGTGCCCTGGCTTGATTGTGTGACCAACTCACCAAATCCTGGACCTATGAGTTTAATTCAGGTCAATTTACTTACATTGTTCAATAGCCAATCTCCAAAACAACTGGGACAATGTCAGGAAGACCTAGTTTGATCAGCAACTGCCTGAAACTTGTGACTAAATAGTTATGACATTCTAAACGCTATTTTCATTACAGAACCCGTTGGATCACTGTTAAAAGATGGAAAATATTGTAATTTTTTGCTGAAAGGATACTACAATTTTGCATGAGTTGGACATGAAAACTTTGCTGCGGTTTTATCTACCTTTTTGTGTTTTACAGATTATCGGATCTGCACCAGGTTACCCACATGGCGTCATTGATCCTATTCAAGTATGTAAAATTTGTGTTGTTAGTCTAATTTACTTGTTCTAGTTTAACCTTTCTCACTTGTGACCTTTACTGATTCGGTTAAAACAGGAGCTTGGGGTATTGGCGTCCAGATATGGAGTTTGCTTGCATGTCGACCTATGCCTTGGTGGCTTTGTGTTGCCATTTGCTAGGAAGCTTGGGTATGCCTCTGTTTCGTTTGACTACAGTTTTGTAGCGATGTTTACTTTTTCCCTTTTTGTTATTACTACAGTAGTATAGTTGCATTTATCAACTTGCTCACACAGCTGATTTACTTAGCTTTGGTGATCCAATTTTCAAGGTAAATCCTGGGGAAATCTTTTAGAATCTAAAGGATTTAGATTCAGAACCAAAAATGGATTCACGGAATGTAACTTTAGTAGAAATGTGATAAGGTGGATGTAGTTCAAGTTGATTGTTAAGAGATACTGTAGATTATGTTATATTACCCCTACTGAACCCATTATTACCACCACCACAATACACCTGTGTACATCCACATTAAAAAAAAAAGATTCCTTCATACATTCTTAATTGCTACTTTCCCTTTGTTTCTGAAGCTAGAGGAAACAGGAAATATTACTTTTTTCTTCTCACCTTTTCTTATTCTCTTCTCATCTACTGTTTTTAGAAGGCAGCATTACCCTAAGTTCCAACTCTATAACACAATGTATTATTCTAGATCTGACGATATTCTCAAGCCACGCTGGGATTAGATAAGTTAAAACTTGACTTCTTGTTGAGCTATATATTACTTAGGTTCCAGGACTCCTGGCTTGGGATGGACTCCGGCCTGACAACCACTTCAATTGCAGCTTTCGTGAGCACAAATTCTCTTACTGGGGGATGGCGGCTGCAGGTAGTGACACGTGATAGAAACACAACAAAAATGTACATGGGAACAAGTGTCTTAAAAAGTTTAAAACTTATTGACGATAAATAACTAATAGGAAGTTATGATCCGTATCAAGTCATAAGGCATTGCTGAGAGCCAGTTGTTTTATCTCTCAAAGCACTAGCAATTCCATTGAAATGTTTGAGGTAAAATTAAGCAGGAAACAATAAAGTAGGTTGAGGTAATATCTGATTTCTAATCATCTTTATGATCCATAAAGTACCATTAGTCACAGGATCTAGAATTTCTGGTATATATTGGTGGCCTTACCTTTGTTAAGAGACATGGCAATTTTGCTGTCAAATGGACCACATCTTATACCATGTAATAATGTGAGATCCTGATGTCTTTAAAATGACTGAGTTCTTATACCAACAATGAAAATTGCTGATTTTCTTCGCTCATAAATCACTAGGAGAAACAACTACTTGTCAAACTGCAGGGTAAGTTCAAACTAGGTTTGGTTATGGTTATCACCTTCTATTAGTTTTATGGTTATCACCTTCTATTAGATTTAGTTGTGGTCTGATTAGTGATTGTTAGTTATGGTTATCACCTTCTATTAGTTTTAGTTATGTGGTCTGATTAATGCTTGTTGAGCATTTGCCCACTTCATTTTCAGCTGAAACAGTGCAACATATTCTCTTAGCACCTTAGTTTTATTTGGTTGCTAAAACTGTTGCTTATGAGACTCTTTAATATGGGAACTGATCTTTTTTGTAGTCATGTGGTTTTAACTTGGCTTGCTTTGACTTGTATTGCAACCTAAAGAAAGATATATTTTATGCAGGTATACAATTCCACCTTTTGATTTTTCTGTTAAAGGAGTCACGTCAATCTCGACAGATGTGCACAAGTATGGTTTAGCTCCCAAAGGCACAAGTATTGTTCTTTACAGAAACCATGAAATTAGAAAGGTAATGATCATATAATCCACTCCATAAAATTTATGTAGAGACTGCTTGAGTTAGTTTGTGGTGTTAATACTCTTAAAATTTTGGGAATGTACTGGCATATGAAAAAACTTCTTGAATTGAAACTAAATGGATAGGTATTTAGACAAAGTAGACTCACGTATCATTCCTTAACAGTTTTCTCTAAAATATGAGATATGCTAGTCTTCTTTTATTAGATATTTTTAGATAGGATTGGATTGACTATTCTTATCAGTTTCAGCATCAAGGTGCTCAGATGTGATTTAAGTTATTTTTTATTTGTATTTCTATATAAAGTTGTTGTTTAATTTGATTTGGTAGTAGTTTTATCTAATACCTGGAATTGCTTTCAAAAGAAAGTGATATAATCAGATACTTGTAGTATTGTTGATTGTATGAAATTTGCAGAATTAAAAGTTTAGTTGCGATTGAGATTTAGTTTTCTTGTTTCCTTGAAATTCTTCCCATCTTACCACTAATCAAATTTCTCCCTTTTCTCGATATTTCTTCCTTATATATTTCCCATACCCTATTCGATATTTATCTTTCCTTCCATTTGGTATATCTTTTAAAGCATTTGAAAAATTCTTTCTTATCAACACTGAACTTATTAACAGTTATGGTTTACTTTAAAATATTTTAAAAGTAATGATATTTATTCTGGTTATTAATTACACTTTATCTTATTAATGTTTGTGCTAAATTACACTTTTATGTGTCCAATTACTCACTAGAAATATCCTCCAAGAGTTCATTTGCTTATATTCCTGTTTCCAAGTGGACTGTTCTTTACTTGGCTAATTTTGAAATGGCTAGACCTGTGTGCAAGTGATTAACAGTTCTTAAAAATGTATGCTCTTGGATTTAAATCATTCATTCGAAACTACTCCCTAAATGAAGATTTTGATTTCCATGAGATCAAAAGCAGGATAATATGTTACTCACGTTGAACTACAACCAAATTTATTCATGCAATGTGCTTCTACTCTTGTGCAGATACTTCCTGTAGTTTGATTACTGATATCCTTTTTTCCTTTTCTTTTTCGCTGGATGATGTGTATCTTGGTTTTTGTCTCAATCTTCTACAGCACCAATTTGTTGCCGGTAGGTCATTCCTTCTACTTTGTCTAATTATTGGGCCTGTGAATATGGCTTTTCTTTTGATGTCCTGTGTAATACTTATTTATTTTAGTTATTTCGTTTTCATGTGACCATCAGGTTCGCTCTAGTTTGTTTCTCTTCACATGACTCAAAAAACTCATCATAGCACAGGAAAACGTATAATCTTGAAATCATCACAAATCACACTTGCAGTATGGAATTGCTCTTTTAACAATTTTTGTGATTGCTTATGGTTTTGCAAATTGTCAAAGGTCCCTTCAACTACACCAAAACTCTTAAGTCAACTCTTAAGTCATGATGAGAATTATAAATTTTTTACTCTACAACATGCCCCTGCAAGTTTGGGTCCTTTGCTCACACCTTGGACTCATACGATGGTATCTTTTCTTTTTTCTCTCCTATCTGGTTTAAACGCGGAGCTTCTGGAATTTGACCTGTGTTGCTCTGATACCATGTTAAAAGGTCTCTTCCATGGTACCATAAATCTCACATTGTAATGAGGCTTGAAGGTTAAAATTTCAAATGTTGTGCTCAAATATTTTGAGGGAAATATGCATTTTCAGAGTCTTTATTGGGACGCAGGGAATACTTGCATTAGTTTTAAGTAATTCGGAAATTTTTCAGGATAAAATAAATGCACAGAGTAAATGGTTGTATACATCTTAATATAAAGTGTAAATCCTTAGCAACCTTTTCTGACACTATCGCATTGCTTATCTCCCTGGTACAGTTACTGAATGGTCCGGTGGGCTTTATGTCTCTCCCACTATTGCTGGAAGCAGACCTGGAGGATTGATTGCTGGGGCTTGGGCTGCTATGGTGTCATTAGGGCTGACTGGTCTCTAGAATTTGTTCATCTCTGATACAGTTTGAGTAATTTCTATTAGTTTGTTAATTGACATCAAGGAAATCATTTTTTTTTCAGGCTACTTGGAAAATACACGAGAGATCATGGAATCATCCAAGAAGATACAGAAAGGGTACCGAAATCTCTATTACATACCAGTTATAATATATGGTCATTTTTTCCCTTAAAACATTAAATTGTAACCAGGATTGAAGAGATTCCTGAGCTGTTCATCATTGGGAAACCGGATATGACGGTTATCGCCTTTGGCTCAAACACAGTCAACATTTTCGAGGTCAATGATATAATGTCATCAAAAGGGTGGCATTTGAATGCATTGCAAAGACCTAATAGGTTAGACTTTTGATAATCCACATATTTTCATTAGCTAAAAACAATAAACAAACACCTCCAATTCTGATCATTTCGTAAGCATTTTCTTACAGCATTCACATCTGTGTGACCCTTCAACATGTTCCAGTATATGAAGAATTCCTGAGAGACTTAAAGGACTCTGTAAAAACCGTAAGTCTTTAAAAGATCGCTCTTTTGAGCGTTATTGCTAGAAGAAAGCACTATATTAACTTGTGTAAGTTGCAGATATCCCCCTCATCTATATGTTCAAATTGCACTTAATCCCCCCCTCAGCTATTTTACTAGCATTTGACGCCCCTGGCTTCACACTTTGAGAAGGAAAAAATTGCAGATAACCATTGCCCTTTATGAATTCAAGGGTGCTAACTGCTACTAAACTAGTTTGAGGGTGATAAGTGCAATTGAAGATATAGACGAGGGGGGTGATCTGCAATTTCCTATAAATTTTTTGTAGTACGCTCATGTTCGTTTGTAGCGCATCACATAAAAAAATAATCTCTATAAACTTTTGTATCCTAAACTTGTGGATTGTTATATTTTAGGTGAGAGAAAACCCTGGTCCAATAACTGGAGGGCTTGCTCCAGTTTATGGCGCAGCGGGAAAGATGCCTGATAGGGGAATGGTGCATGAACTGCTGGTAGAGTTCATGGACAGTTCTTGTTAGTCTTAAAGCGCCTTTGGACCCATTTGAAGAATACAAATACATTTGTTGTCTCGCTTGTTGTAACTGCATCAAAGCGAATAGATTCAAAGGGTTATTTATACTAATTGTGCACTTGTATACTCTTTATACCGTGTCACATAAAGCTCTTTCATAAAGTTACTGTACAATTGCATCATAAGGATGCGGAAAAGCTGTATGAATATATCCAACCTCCCCTAATGAAAATTTCTCAAGGCATGTGTTGGGATATTAATTTTTTAATCAAAGTTAGAAACCTCATGGGCTGCTATCTGAAGTTTAGCCGTTAATGTTTTCTTTAATTTTTCAAAAGTGGTGGGTCCTACTTAAGAAAATTTTGAACGCGAAGCCCACATTCATAGTAAAATATATTATTTTATTAGTACATAGTATTTTTTCAAATGCTATAAATAGACCTCAAATTTTTAAAAAAAAATTATTCTAAAAACAATAATTAATGTATACAGATATATATGTTGTAAAATAGCTTTATTTTTACCAATTGTGCACTTGCATACTCTTTATACTGTGTCACGTAAAGCTCTTTCATAAAGTTACTATACAATTGCATCATAAGGTTGCGTAAAAGCTGTATGATTATATCCAACCTCCCCTAATGAAAATTTCTCAAGGCACATGTGTTGGGATGTTAATTTTTTAATCAAAGTTAGAAACCTCATGGGTTGCTACCTAAAGTTTACTCCATCGAAGAAAATTTTGGATACGGGGCTCACATGCATAGTAAAATATATTATTTTATTAGTGCATAGTATTTTCTCAAATGTTATAAATAAACGTCAAATCCTTAAGGAAAATTCATTCATAAAACAACAATTAATATATACAGATACATATGTTGTAAAATAGCTAGTGCTCGTAGGAACAGTGCCTGCACCGAGAATGTCTTATAGATCAAGGAGATCATTGCCTTAACCGAAAGGTCTGATAGATCGAGAAGATCTTTGCCTTATAGATCGAGGAGATATTTGCCTTATAGATCAAGGAAATCTTGACAGTACTGGGTCAGTGCACACTAGAGTATTGTACTGTTGTTCCTGGAAGCAATTTGGCATTGGGATCCTTGCACCGGAGTAGGCCAAATATTGCTTTAAGCACAGCGTTTTACAAACACACAGCAGTTGAGTTAAAAAAAATTTAAATTACTGCACTTTTTATTTCTTTCAGTTATTTGGTGCTCTATATCTGTATTATTTTAGATTTAACCATAGGCGCCAACAATCTTAAAGCAATATTCTGATCTACCATGGATCCTGCAAGGACTTTTGGAATGGGTTGTCTTAAGTTAGAAAACTTTGACGGTTCTAACTTCAACGCATGACGTCGGAAAGTAATTTTTGGGATGCAACTCCTGAAAATCTACTATGTGGTTTCTGAGGAGAAACTAAACTCTGAAGAAGATCTTGAAGCTGAAACCTCTTGGGCTAGAGATAATCACTTATGCAGGAGTTATCTTCTTAACTGCTTGGTCGATCATTTAGCAGATGCTTACACCAACAAGCCCTCTGCAAAGGAAATCTGGAATGCTCTGGAGCACCAGTACAAGGATGAGGAGAAGTTGTCCAAATCTCACCTCATCGACAAATTTCTAAAGTTCAAGGTCGAAGACGACACTGAAGTTTTACCTCAAGTCAAAGATCTTAAAAAGCTTGTTATGAAGCCAAAGGATGAAAAGATAAGTCTTTGTCAAACATTCATTTCTGGTGTAATTGTCAACAAACTTTCTCCATCTTGGATGTCATTCTCCACTGCTATTCGGAGAAGGAAAAGGCTGGTGACTCTGCCTGATTTGAAAAGGTTCATTCAGATCGAGGACGAGACTCGAACTCGCACGAAGACTGAGCTCATTGCTAAGCAGAAGGCGTCTGCTAACTTTGAAAAGGGTAATAATTCATCTTTCAAGAAGAAGAAGTCTTTTAACAAAAAGAAGAACCAGAATCCGAAGGACATGAACGTTTAGAAGGAGTTCAAGAAGAGCGGCAAATGCTTCAACTGTGGGAAGCAATGACATTTTGCCAAAAACTGCAAAGCATCAAAGAAGAAAACAACACACAATGTCAATCAAGTTGATGATTGTGCGACTATGCTCTTCAAGGTAACAACTCCCAACAATATTTCTGGTTGGTGGTTAGATACAGGCGCCAACAATATGATGTATAAGTTAGTTGTTTTAAGGTAGTTTTAAGTACTCATGGACCTGACATGGAGCTGCTAACCCAGTGCATGCTATATGGATATATACATCAAAGAAGAAAGAAAACGCAAGCTTTATAGTTATGTTATGTTGCAGTGTATGAGAATCTTGTTATGATTGAACTGCGTACCCTTTTGTACGGTTGTGTATTTGATATCCCCATAACTTTTTAAGAAAGGTCATAATAATATGCAATCTTTTTGAAGGAATCCTAAAATTGGAACCCAGGTGTGTATATCAGGGAAATAATGGATGGAGTTTTCCCCTCATAGAAACCATATTTAGGATAGAGTCAACTTTGATTGACCGTTAATACATATTTATCACATTAAAAGAGTTATTTGTTTCAAGCAATCATCCTGATCCAGTTTTCAGTGAAATCTTTTCAGTTTCGCTCTAAAATACTTGGATGATAAACATTGAGTATGTTGGAAGGATGATCCTCAAGGAAAGTTAAATGAGGTCAATCACAATGATAATCACTTTGGTAGCTCACAACCAAAGTAAATGCTATTTCCTTCGAATTATGTATTGACACTCAAAAGATCCCTGCAAGCTTGAGAATTATGCCTTTTATCTGCACAGTTATTGAAAGCATACACTGTTAAAAAAATTACATAAAATGACATACATAATCAAAGATCAAACTATATGCTCATCATTGTTCCCTTGAGCAATGAATCATCTATGGAATCCTTATTTTACTTCTCTAAACTGCAACAACGGCATGCAATCCTTAATACTTCTAGGATGTATCCACCAACAGCGGAAAACTTGACCTCCGTTATTTATGAAAACATTGTCATATGCCTTACAAATATGCAGGAAGAACTAATGTTATTATACCGGTAGGGGCTCTTCCTTTAGTCTTCCACCCATTTCCATCCTCCATGATACATCTACAAGACCTGACAGTTCCCTACAAGCCGAGAAAGAATAAGAGGGTGGGGAAAGGAATGACACCCATAAGACAAAAAGTCGATAAATTGGCAAGAAAGATGGCCTTAGAGTAGCAATCTGCAAGGTTTATTTCGGTTTGATAAGTTCAAACTATTTGATTATCAATCCACCGACAAGGTTTAATTTAGTATTCAACCATTTATCTATGCGACTCAAAAGATGATTAGAATATAACCTAGAATTGGTAAATGGTTTGCAATTTGCTATCAGGCCAATATTTTCAATCAAAAAATTAGATCAATCAGAATTAGAACGAAAGATAATAGTATAGAGGGGTTGAAATACCCTACAGATGTTCACAGAAACCTGAATTAGTTTAGAGCATATGTAAACACAACTCCTAACTAGAGGCTCTCACATTCCAATTTCACTTTTAGTCAACGAATAAGTTAATTTCTCCACCTGCCAACTGGCATACTTTGTTTCGATACATGCCGTTATCTTGCCTACCTTGGTACATGATCTTGGCAAATATTCAGGTTATATTAACGAACAACAAATTCTCAAAACTATAAATAAGATAGAAATATTGCATCCTAGCTTCTGACATCAGGCTAAGCATTTAATTTTCTCTTGCACATGTTCCCTTTACAAGTGAGCCATCTTTCTGTTAGAGACCCTTTCATGTATCCTAAAGATCCGCATAAGGGGAAGCATCAAGTGTTAGATTATTGAATCTACAGCATTAGCTCAGAATAGCTTAAGCTTTTGGATAAAGTAGTTTTTGTAAGTCTAGGTGTATATTTTCTGATAGTGGACATACCACATAAATTTTCATAAATCTGTACATTAATATTGTATTTTTGGGTACCACATGAAGTGCTTCACGAACTGGGTAGTATATATTTCCTACGTAATACGTATGTATACGTATCAACAGGCACAACAAAACACAGATATGGTAAAAGATTTGTACATATTAATGCTTGCTTGTTTAGATATTATGTACTTCATCAATAAATGTCAAAACATAGTAACCGGCTATGTAAATATTAATATGTTGGCTTCATATGAATAATATGTTAGTTTCTATGAAGAAGCACAATTGACAGATTACTAAATCCCTAATTGAAATATTTATAAACAAATTCTCCAGTTGAAAGCTGCAGATTTTAATGATGCGGTAAGGTGAAGATAAACTGCAATATGAATTAATGAGCTTAGAATAGCTAAAAGGAAAATATGATGGAAGTACAAGATGATTCAGCACTTTGAATCAGTGCTTGCCTTGTGATCTTATCAAAAGTCATGCAGCATTTCACAATTTTTAATACTGATCCATAAATATAGTTCAACCAAACTAAGAATAAAGAGGCATACATGGGAAAGCTACTAGAGCGATTAAATTAATTTGGAGTAAGGTAAGAAAGGGGGAAATCTAAAGAGGAATTGATGCAAAATGAGGCAAGCTGATGTGAAACAGGATAGGGGGTCTATCAGAATCAGCGATGTAAATCTAATAATGCATCATTTCACCAAATTTCATGATTTTTGGCAAGAAATTAAATTCAAAACAACTAATGTGACAGATGGATTTAACGAAATTTGCATCAATAGTTATGATTAATTCTAATCTCGATCAATTTAGCTGCAATATTCATTATCATGCTCAAGTTCTACAATCAATATCAAATTTAAACAGTCACATGCTTAATTACTCTCAACTCACAAATATAATCTAAGTAGTGAATATATGATAAGAGTTTAGAGGTGGAATACTCATGTAATTAACTAATAAAACGATATTAACAAAAAAATAATTTACTGGACTATCAAGTGGTGACGGTTGACGGATAAACCGGCGACGACAACGACATCAAACTGGCAACGACGATAGTGGCGAACTGAGCGACAACGACGGAGGCGAACTGAATAACGACGAGGTCGACAGAGCTAGGGCGATGTGATGACCCGTGGGTAGGCGGCTGTCGAGGAGGAGGGGGGGTCAAGGTCGGTTGATGTTCGGAAGAGGGAATGATGCAGGCGATGGGATGAGGGTTTTGTTGATGTAGAGGTGGCAGGGAGACGGGGCTGGGTGTCGGGACTGCCTGAGGATGGAGGGGAGCAGGGGAAGGAGGCGCGGATTGTGGAAGTGCTGGTGGGGCTGCTCGGTGGGAAGGAGAGCAGGGAAGGGAAGGTTGGCGG